TAGTGTGCTTACTTTTCCCTGCCCTACTTATTTTCTTCATTCTTTATAGAGGGATTCTTTTTAAAAAAAAAACAGTATTTTATTTTTCCCCAATTACATGTAAAGACAGTTTTAACATAATTTTTTTTTAATTTTGAGTTCTAAATTTTTTCCTTCCCTCCCCCTTCCCTAAAACAGTAAGCACTTTGATATAAATTATACATGTACAATCATGTAAAACATATGTCTATGTTAGTCATGTATAATAGGGATTCTTAATGTGTCCATGAATTTTTAGAAATTGATAACTCTATGTCAATAGTACTAACTTCTTTTGCAAGCCTATGTATTTTATTTTAGGTATCTAAAAACATTATTTTGAGGAGTCCATAGGCTTTACCAGACTGATAAGGGAGGTTCCTGTAACAAAAAAGATTAGAAACCCTGCTCTATAAAGACTTTTAATTTGTAATAGCAGGTTAGCCATGGTGTTATACTCAAATAGAAACAGATCCCTGAAGGTACGGATTGACTTAGAAAACCACAAATTATGCCTATCTATGTTGTGCTGTATTTTTATTTATCTTGCTAAATATTTCCCAATTCCATTTTAATCCGGGCCCCACTCCTGTGAGTTTGATACCTCTGCTCTACAGGAAAATGCTGATGCTTATTTAATGTCTAATCACAGTGCACTGAGAACCAGGAAGAACTACTATGATAATGCATTAAAAAGAATCACCAGAAAAGTTGAGATTGCATTTGCAATTAAAACTCAAGATTTGATTTCTTCATTTCAGTCTACCTTTGCTCTGAATGTCCTCATAACTGGTGCTCTGGTATTGTGACTAAATCCCTCCTAACCTGTCAGTTCAGTTGTGAGTTTCTTCAATGTAATCAATGGCACTGACATTCAGCACACAATAAGCAGTTTGTGGTCCAGAGGTGACTACAGAAAAGAAAAATGGAAGCATCCTATTCCAGGAGAGGGAAGTCACTAAGCATTTCCCAGCTGTGCCTCCCTGGACTATTTGTTTTTGTCTAGTTGTTTCCCAATTGTGTCCATCTTTTCATGACCCCTTCTGAGGTTTTCCTGGCAAAGATGCTGGAGTGATTTGCTATTTCCTTCTCCAGCTCATTTTACAGATGAGGAAACTGAGGCAAACAGGGTTAAGTGACTTGCCCAAGGTGATACAGTTAGTAAGTGTCCGAGGCCAGATTTGAAGTCAGGAAGATGAGTGTTCCTGACTCAGGGCCCACCACTGTATCCGCTGCACCAACTAGCTGCCTCCAAGTGGGAGTGTGGTTGTGCATATTAGAAGTGAGAGAATAAAGAATCATAAAGAGTCACAGGATGATTAATGAGTAACAAGAAGTTGAGGATCCAACAATGTTTAGATTGTGGGATATTTCCCCTAAATATTGCAAGACAAATAGGATCATCACCACTGCCTTCCTGTATCACTTTATAATGGAATTGTAGATGACTATGTATTCTCAAAGGCCATGTTGGTGAAGCACAGTCTATCAGTCAACAAGCATATATTAAATACCTTCTATGTGTCAGGCATTGAGCTAGATACTGGGGATACAGATACAAAGAACACAACAATTCCTACTGTCCCTCTGATGGGGGATACAAGTGTGTGCATATTATAAGTATAAAGAGGGTAAATATAGAAGTTTGGGACAGCTAGGTGGCGCAATAGTGCACAGAGTGCTTTGCAAACCATATTAGTTTATGATGCTTTTGAGCCATATAAATCTTCATTATTGTTGTTGTTGTCATTGTTATTATTAAGGAACTTGCCCAGGGTCACACATAGTAAGTGTCAGAGTCAGGATAGGTCCTACCAAGCTATATATGTCTATCATCTGGGAGCCCTAGCTAAGCTACAAGGGGCTCACCACCAGGTTGGCTACAGGTGAACTCTTAAGTCATATATGCTGAATTCAAAGTTGCTGTTGCCGCATCCTCCATAAAGGAAACAATGGATAGTTGTTCTTAGGCAATCACCAGGGTGAAAGAAAGTACCTCCCTTCTGGGAGTGACCCAAATAGATTCTCAGTGACCATAAACCAGAACTTACTAGATCAGGAGTCAGTATGTTTCAGAGGGACAAGGACCTGAGATGGAAATAGAAAATGCAGTAGGGGAAGGGAGGTGACCAGGAAGAGAATTAGAGGCAGGGATTTTGAACCAGGGAGATCAGAATAGGATCAGCTGGCATGCTACCAAGAGTGTAAGCAATGACTTTTTGTCTAAAGCAATCCTTTCCCCCTTTTTATGGCAGCAAAATGCATTTTTGGCTTCCAACTGGATTGGATGGGTCTGTGTGGTCATGACCACAGTCCTTCTGACCCCCAGACAAGGCAGTGAAGTCTATGGGCTTGAGAGTATATCGTTCAAGAATGTCCACAGGATATTTGAGATGCCAGTTTAACCACGCCCTTTTCCAGTTCCACACATGGGTCCTGTTAAAGAAACATTTCTGGCTTGTACCTGGCAACTGATAGGAGCGATTTTAAATTGGTTGACATAGATCTTAAAACGGAACTTTAGCCCCTCAAAATTAACTGCAGCAAGTCAAAAAGTATACTTGCATGGCCAGCATCACACATTACAAGAAGGGGGTGGAGGGGAGCAGTCATCTTGCAAAACTTTTCTGAATGTTGAGGTTTCGTTGCTCTCAGGGAGATGGGGGTGAGGATTTTGCTATTGGGGGTAAGCGCTTAAGTTCTCTGTACTTCATGATGCCTTTCTTGGTCTCCCCAGCTAGCTGCTAGTAATTCTCCCCTTCCTTAATTAATTTATATTTATTTTGCATATATTTTGTATAGTATATTGCAGCAATATTGTCAATTGTGAGCTTGACTCAGATCCAAGGAGACATGAGTTCAAGGTCCATCCTCTGATATATATCAGATGACCCTGGAAAAGTCACTCTTGACCTCTCCATAAACCTCTCTACTCTAGGCCATTGGTGTCAAACTCAAATCGAAATGGGGACCACTAAATTGTAAATAAGGATCTCCAAGGGGTGTATATTGACTTGGTTTTAAAATGTAATATTGTTTGTTTTGTTGTATTTTTATTTGTTTTGTTAAATATTTCCCAGTTACATTTTAATCTGGTTATGCATCCCTGCTTTGTTTGACATCTCTGCTCTAGGCAACTAACACAATGAGGTGGAGAAAAGGCACAGACTGACATTGGTAAGGAGCTTTCCACCTGAGAGTTCTCTCTATCAGTGAAATCACAGGTCTAGTCTTTCCTCTGAGATAACCTCCAATGTACCCTTTATAGATCTTGTATGTACATAGTTATTTGCATGTTGCCTCCCTCACTGGAATGTGAATTCCTTGAGGTCAGGAACTATTTTTGCCTTTCTTTGTATCTGTAATACTTAGCACAGTGTCTGGTAAATATTAAGCATTTAATAAATGCTTACTGATCATTTGGCTATCCCTATTCTGATATTTTTATATACTTGTATGTGTACTTTTCTTCCTTATTAGAATATAAGTTCCTTGAGGGCAGGGAATGTTTCATTTCTGTCTTTATGTCCTCAGTGCCTAGAACAATTCCCTGGGACATAGAAGGCACTTCGCTTAATAAATCTTTGATGGTTGATTGATGAATGATATTGAAAACATAGCCTTTGCTATAAGATGAATCTTTTTTTTTTAATATTAGCTCTTCATTGTGAATTAGCAGGCACTAATTATGTGTAAAGCATTTCACTAGACATTGTGGGGAGGCACAAAGAAATAATTGATGTCCCTACTCTAGAGGAGACAAAAGTATAGTCTAGTTGGATTGATAAATTTCAACTGACAATAAGTTTGTTATTTACCTATTTTTATTTTACTATTTTTATATTTTTACTGTATTATTTTACTATTATTATTTACCTATTATGTGCCAGGTACTGCTCTAGGATCTGGGAATGCAGAGACAAAAATGAAGTATTCCCTGCGTTTAAGGAGCTTATGTTTTTACTAAGGAAAACAACATATATACATAAATACAAAGTAATAGAGGGGAGCAGGGGAAAGAGTACTTGTAGTATAGGAATGAATAAGAAGTGGCACTTGAGCTGAACTGAAAGTCATTAGCACAATAATGGTTTGGGGCTCATATAGTTTCCATTTCTTTTATTTTTAACTTATGGAATAAAACAAGCATTTCCATAACATAGTATAATAATAATTTTTTAAAAAGATGATTGTACAGGAAACTGCAAATCTATTATGTACAACTTACTATTCCTTTTAAATATATAATAAAGTTATATATCTTTCTTAATATGTATATATATATGTAAAATCATTCTATACATACTTCTGTTTATCAGTTCTTTTTCACTTTTATGGGTGAGTTCATCTCATTCACATTCAAAGTTATAATTACTGTTTGTTAATTTCTTTCCATCTTATTTTTACTCACTATTGTCCTCCCCAGCCTCTTTTTTTACCCTATCCCTATTACCTTATCTTCTCCCTTTATCCTCCTATCCATCATTCTACCCACCCCTCTAAGAGTCCCTCCCTTAGCCTCTCTCCCCACCTTCCTAAATCTTAATCTACATATCCTTCTAAAAGTCCCATAAGGATAATTCTCTGCTCTTACTCTCTAGCAAATGAGACAATGCATATTATTAACATGAGCATTGTTAGTTATAGGCCAGTATAATGCCAAAAAAGGACAGTGGACTGATTGAACTAAGATTCAGTGTGGCAGCTGGGGACGTGAACATAGATCAATGTCTTGTGTTATATCTCATCTTATCTCTTATGCTTTATCAATGTGCAGATATTAAGCTCTTTGAGGGTGGGGACAGTGTCATTTACCTTCTTTGTAATTCTTAGCTCCTAGCACTATTCTTTGCATAGTAACACTTAGCAAATGTTGTTGAATTGAATTGTTGAAATGAACAGAACTATATTTTAGGATGATCAATTTGGGGTTGTGTTGGAAGTGTCCAACCATCTCTCAATGGCATGTCCTTTCTTTGCAGAGAGATGCTAAAGGCCAGTACCTGTTTGACCTTCTTTGCCACCACTTGAACTTACTTGAAAAAGACTATTTTGGAATCCGTTTTGTGGACCCAGATAAGCAGAGGGTAAGTCTGAATTTAAAGAATAATAGGAACTTGGGGTAGTAAGCAGTCTCTCACTGGTATCTAGACTTTAATCCTAAGGATCAGGACCCTTCCAGTAGGACATTATCTCTTAGAATCATAGAACTTTAAAAGGTGGAAAGGACCTTAGAAGTCAACTAATCCAACCGTCTAATTTTACAGTTAACCACCAGGGGGTGCTTCTCACCAGCTGCCTGATCCTGCTTAGTTGTTTAGCTGTGTCTGACTCTTCTTGACCCCATTTGGGGGTTTACTTGGTGAAGACACTGCTGGAGCGGTTTACTATTTCCTTCTCCAGTTCATTGTACAGATGAGGAAATTGAGGCAACAGGGTTAAGTGACTTTTCCCATAGCCACACAGCTAGTAAGTGTGTGAGGTCAGATTTAAACTCAGGAAGACTCATCTTCCTGACTGCAGGCCCAGTGCTCTCTCCACTTTGCCACCTAGCCCATACCTTGCTTAGTAATCAGGACCAAATGCTGTCAGTTAACTGTTCATCCTCAGTAGTTATGCATTCTACCCAGTGCTCTAAAGTGATACAGTCTCCCTGTCTCTCAGAGAACTGGCTACACTTCTCCCCTAATTCTTCTCCTTTTTTGGGTGGCAACATTTGTCTCTTAGTCTAAGGAAAGTGTTTTTAACCTTCTTTGTGTCCTAGACCCCTTTGGCAATCTGGTGATGCTTAGGGACCCTTTCTCAGAATCATGCTTTTGAATGCATAAAATAAAATGTATGAGATTACAGAAGAAACCAGTTATATTGAAATAAAGATTTAATTTTTTCCTATCCAATTTCGTGGACTCTGGAAGTGTCTGAACCCCAGGTTAAGAACCCCTGGTCTTGAGGGGTTTAATGTCGATTTATCCAACCAGTCTTAGTTGGAGATGCTCTCAACCACTTTGGGGTGGGGGGGGAGACAACCTTTTACCCCTTCATCCATCTCTGTTATATTTCAGTGAAGGTTACTCACTCACAAAAGCATAGCATTCGTGAATATGGTGCTTTAATCATATTGTTAGAGAGGAATGAAGCTGAACATACTAAATTTTTCCCAAACAAAGCAGCCAAACCCCTCTTTGTATGCAGACAAGCCCAAACCCAGGAACTCGGAGAAATACTGTTCAGGTGCTAGTATTCAAGTCTCCCACTCCCACTGCGGTGGCCACTCCTAGAGACCTTCAGCGAGGCTGGGTGCTTGCAGGTACTAGCTGAGTCCTGCTATAGCTCTGCTTCTCTTCAGTGTTCTCCGCTTCAGTCCCTGCTTTGTTTACGGCCACAGCTGCAGATGACTGTTCTTGGCAGGCTTCTCGCTTCTCCTTCAGCTCCCTGTTTCTAGCTCCCCTTCTCTTCTTCCCTTTTCCCCTGGGCCTGCCTCCAGCTCAAAGAGTGTGTAGCTGGGCTATTAAAGTTCTCATGAAAACAGCTGGAGGGTGAGTGGGCAGGATAGCTTCATGCTGATCGCCACTTTTTCTCCAGCTCCCTTCACCTTCCCCCAAAGTTCATACCATCTGGCTTCCACATTATTTCCCCCAGGCGCCTCTTTTAAATTTCGCATCCTTCAGCTTTTTTCCATCCTCTGCTAGCTCTGAAGCTTAGATGGGAGGAGCCTCCAGTTCCCTGCCTTCTCTGAATGCCTGTTGCATCAGAGGATAAAGGGATTTATCTGTCCACTGCTCACACAACTAGCAAGTGTCTTTTTAGGACTAGTATTCTCATCTTGAGGCAGGGTCGGTTCACTTTGGTGGTATCAAACTCTTGTAGAAATTGAGGCCATTAAACTCTACATAAGGATTCCTACAAGCCATATGCTGATTTTGGTTGTTGTTCAGTCATGTCTGACTCTTTGTGACCCCATTTGGGGTTTTCTTGGCAAAGATACTGGAATGGTTTGCTGTTTCCTTCTCCAGCTCATTTTACAGATGAGGAAACTGAGGGAAACAGGATTAAGTGACTTGCCCAAGGTCACACAGCTAGCAAACATCTAAGGTCAGATTTGAACTCAGATCTTACCGACTCCAGGCCCCGCACTCTATCCACTGAGCCAACTGGCTGCCCCCATACACTGACTTAGAGAACCACATATTAGCATTATCTGTGTTCCATTGTATTTTTGTTTATTTTGTTAAATATTTCCCAATTACATTTTAATCTGGTTCCCCACTTAGAAATGTTGAGTGGGGCTTTGAGCAGCCATGGAGGCTGCTTTGTGGTATTGTGTTTGATACCTCTGATCTAGATTAGCCTAGCAAAAAACACTAGGCATTCCCCGTCTCATCTTGGTCTCATTCCAAAAAATGAGACTCTTCATACCTGGATCTCGATCTCAATCTCAGTCTCTCTCTCTCTCTCCCTCTCTCCCCACTGTCTCCCTCTCTCTGCCTCTCTTTCCCTCTTTTTCCCTCCCATGTCAGTAAATTCAAATAAACCAACTACTACATATGTTTTTGGAAGAGCAAGGGAAAATGTGCTTGACGTGGTTGTTACCTCTTCAGTGCACAATGTCTTGCACATAGTAGGCACTCAAATATTTACTGAATTCAATTGAGACTAATTATCCTTTGATAGCAAAGTCTTGCCCTGAGGTCTAGGATTTTGCTTTCAGCATTGACCATCTGCATGCTATTTACTGATTTCAACATCTGCCTTCATTTGGAGATCTATCTCTCTGCCTTTCAAAGGTTAACCCTGCTGGGGGCTGTGATTGGAAATGCTGCGTGGAGGGTTGTAATTCTCAGAAGTAGTTCTCTCACATCCTCTAAGGCCCCAGATGTGGAGCAGGGAGGTCTATGAGCAAAAACACTTAATAGAACCAAGCAGTATTTTGTTCTTCAGTGTCCTCAGCTGCAGACAGATTCTATTACAGCTCACATTCAGCATTTTTTCATTTGAAGGCACCAAATTTAGAAAGGAATAAAAGGATTGTATAACCCTCCTTTATTTCCCTTCCACCCCAGACCTCCCTTTCCCCCTCCTGGAACTCACAACCCCCACATTTTATTAATATGCTTCATTCTTCCTGGCCTTAACAATATACCAGCTCAGCAATAATATTGAGGATGTTCAGCTGTTTAGGTGAGATGGCACTTTGACCGTCACCCTGCACGGTTCTCAGTTATTATCCTGACATAGGCCTTCCTTAGGGTTGAAACATGGAACTGAGCCACTTTCCATCTTTTGCCAAAGCTTCATGTTCTCATGCGTTATGAGAGCCCAGCCCGTGTCTGTTCTTAATGATGAAAAAGATGATCAAGACATTCTTGAAAACGGCTTGACAAATGATTTTACATTTTAAAAAGCCATCTGTACTACTACATGTCATTTTTTTTATTGAAGTGTGGAACAAATTAAAGGTCTTGGCTCATTAGTATATAATACAAATTTGTTTGGAAATCTTATTTTATGTTTCTTTTTTTTCCATTTAATAGTATTTGTTCCCAATTATATGTAAAGAGAGTTTTCAACATTCATTTCTGTAAGACTTTGAGTTCAAAATTTTTCTCTCTCCCTCCTCTCCTTCCCCCGCCCAAGACAGCAAGCAATCTGATATAGGTTATACATATACAGTCATGTTAAACATATTTATACATTAGTTGTTTTGTAAAAAAAAAAAGAATAAAAACAAAACGTGAAACCACAAAAAAGAAAAACAAAAACAAAAGTCAAAATAGCATGTTTTGATATGCATTCAGGCTCCATAGCTCTTTGTCTGGATATGGATAGCATTTTCCATCATGAGTCTTTTGGAATTGTCTTTGATCATTGCATTGCTGAGAAGAGCCAAATCTATCACAGTTGATCATAGCACAATGTCGCTGTTACTGTGTACAATGTTCTCTTGGTTCTGCTCACTTCATTCAGCATCAGTTCATATAAGTCTTTCCAGGTTTTTCTGAAATCCACCTGTCCATCATTTCTTATAGCACAATAGTATTCCATTATATTCATATACCACAACCTGTTCAGCTATTCCCCAATTGATGGGAATCCCCACAATTTCCAGTTCTTTGCCACCACAAAAAGAACTGCTATATTATTTTATATATCTTGCAATACTTAGAGTCATTTCAAACAAAATCCCTACCCAATTAAAGAAATCCATCTGAAATACTACTATTTCAGAAAGAAATCCAGTTGCCTTCAGATTTATATGTTTCCTAAACAGCATTCGCAGTAGTGGTATATGGGGATTTAAATACAAAATGTGTTCCATAGCTTTTCATTTGGGTTGAAGCATGTCCAGAAGGGATCAAAAAATCAGGGTGATGGAATTAAGACTAGAAAGGAAATAGGGTCATGTAAGTAGATAGAATGCTGGACTTAGAATCAGGAAGCCAAGTTCAAATCCTGTCTCTGATGCTAAATAGCTATGTAACTATCAAAAGTCGTTTATAGGATCTTAGCCTCATCTTCTCATCTTTAAAATGAGGATCATAATAGCAGCCAACTCAAAAGATTGTTGCAGATTTAGAATGTACCTTAGAGGTCATTGAGTCTGACCCCCTCATTTTACATATGAGGGAACTAAGTCCCAGAAAGACTTGTGATAAGGGGCAAAAGTAGGAATCGGAGGACCTGAGTTCAAATGTCCGCTTTAATGCTTGTTCTCTGTGTGACCTTTAACCTCCCTGGGCTACAGGTTCCTAATCTATAAAATGAGGGGATTAGATCATGTCCTTCTACCTCTGGCCTGTGATCCTTTGTTCACAAACCAGTAAAGATAAATTGCAAAGCCAGTATTCAAACCCAGGACCTCTCACTTCAAATCCAGTGCTTTTCCCACCACACCATGCTGCCTCCCTCTGGAAATATATTTGATTCTCCCTAGACTCCAGAGATCTCGGTATATGTAGCTTAGTCTTTCTTCCTCCTTTCAGTCCCTTATTATCAAAATAATGGTACTGGTACTAAGATTCAAGCTCTCAAAAAGAGACATTAGGGGGCAGCGAGGTGGTAAAGTGGGTAGAGCACCAGCCCTGGAGTCAGGAGGACCTGAGTTCAAATTCGGCCTCAGACACGTAACACTCACCAGCTGTGTGACTCTGGGCAAGTCACTTAACCCCAATTGCCTCACCAATGAGAGAGAGAGAGAGAGAGAGAGAGAGAGAGAGAGAGAGAGAGACATTCTCTTCTTTTTTTAAAAAAATAGTATTTGTTTACACAAGCATTATTAGCTCTCTTTCTGCAACTCCCTCTCCCCACCACTGAGCAGTTAAAAAAAATTTAAGCTCTCATGCCAAATATGCATAGTCCAGCAAAACAGATTCCCACATTGCCATGTCCAGAATTGTGTCTTGTTTTTCATTTGAAGTCCATCAGCAATCTGACAGCTAGGTGGTGCAGTAGATAGCGTATTGGGCCTGGAGTCAGGAAGACCTACGTTCTAATTTGGCCTTAGACACTCACTGGATGTGTGAACCTGGGCAAATTACTTACCCTCTGCCTGCCTCAGTTTCTTCCACTGTAAAATGGGGATCATAATGGCACCAGCCTCCCAGGGTTGTTGTGAGGATCAAATGAGACAATATTTATAAATGCTTGTGTCCTCCCATCCTTTCCAAACTTCCTCTCTGGCAGGGGGTGGATGGTATGTTTCATCTTCACTCCATTCTCTTCCAGATCTTGACCAAATATATTCATCTGGTCTTTAAAAGGACTATTGGGCTAGCTGTTTAGAATTTACCTCTCAGGGCAGCGAGGTGGCACAGTAGATAGAGAACTGGCCCTAGAGTCAGGAGGACCTGAGTTGAAATGTGACCTCAGACACAAAACACTTTTACTAGCTGTGTGACCCTGGACAAGTCACTTAACTCCAATTGCCTCACCAAAAAAAAAAAGGAGGAAAAAAAAGAATTTACCTCTCTTTTTACCCACCTCCCCCTCCTTCCATGACTCTCATTCCTTCCAGGTTAAACCCTCTCTCATTAAAGTTCATAATGGTGCTTCCATGTAGCTGTTGCTCCAGTTAATGGTAGTTTTCATTAGTCCTTGCTGATAAAGCCTTTCAGTCACTCCTTCTATGCCTGTTTATTTTTTCTTTGTTTATTTGAATCTGCCTTTGTGGCATCTACCTGTGTATCTATTGCACTTACATAGTTTTGCTTCCTAGGCTTTGTTTGCTGTTCAGTTCCTCTGACTGAGGAATGGACAGATCTCCCCCAACAGTCAGATCTCTTTGCTCTTTCCTTCCATAGACTGGAAGGGGTGTCATTCTTCTTAGTGTAGAACTCCAGTTGTTTCCATGCAATTAAGTCTTACAGCTTGGCTTCCTCTGTGAAGCCAAAGCAGCAGTGGGCTGTGTAATGTGAGAGGGACCTCTTAACCACATTGAACTGCTATAATAAGTTGCTTGCCTCACGGGAGCTCAGTTCAGTGGAAACAAGAGAGCAAGATGTCAGTCCAGATCATCCATGCAGAGCTGACAGCAGAGCTGGCTCTGAGTGGGTCCATTAGCTGCATGACCCAAACCCACAAAGGAGAGATGTGGGAAGCTGAGGCCAGGATGCCAGTCCAAGATTTCAGCTGGGATGTTACACTAGATCCGGCTTGGGGAGCAGGCAGGTATGGGACGTGGCCTCCCTTCAAGTGCTCCCAAAGGCGGCCACTAAGACGTCAAAAGGCCACAGTTTGAACTGCTGTGGTCTGGGGTTTTTGTGTGAAGCTCAGAAATCTTAGTAAATTGGCATGGATGCTGATTAATTAGCATTAATGCCGTACAGGGGGACAGCATCAATAATGGATGTTTATGGGGTGCTCTGTGGACGACGGAGCTGGTAATGGGAAACAGTTGTAAAATAACCTGTTTCCTCCTATCTAAAAACAAAGCTATTGCTGAAAGTAGTTGGGGCTGATAACCCTGCTGTATCAATCCAGAGGAAGTGGATTCACTTTTCTGGAGATTCCAGGCTCCGTATCTGTTTGTGAGAGTCCAAGAGTGTCAGTTCCTGGGATGCTAACGTTCTCAGATTGTTCTGGGGTCAGCAGTCTGGGACATCGGTGCCAGAGGTGGCACAGGCGGGTCACTTTTTACTTCTCAGTTCCCATCACCGTGACTCCACCACCTTACAGAATACTCTTCCTCTTTTCCTCACAGAAGCAGGGGACTGTGGGCTTGAAATATGGCATATGCAATCAGACTCAGTTAATGTTTTGGTTAGTTTTTGCTAAAAAATACCCTTTTTTTAATCTTTTCTTTATTACAAGGATTGGCTCTCTGGATAGGGAAGGGGTAAGGGATACATTCAGAAATGAAGGTGATATAAAAACAAATGAGATCCATAAAAATGAAAGGTTTTTTAAAAAGATAATATTCCTGTCAGCACATTCAGGAGCTGTTACCGATATCCACTGTCATCACCTTGAGAACTGGCATGGACACACACATACACACACACACACACACACACACACACAGAGGCATGCCACAAAAACAGAGATTAGAACTTTGACACACTACTTTTGGAAGGCTGTTGACTTTAGTTCTAATGTATTCGCATTTGTAGATAAGCCCAAACATTGAGTCTCTGTGTGTGTATATATATATATGTGTATGTGTGCATGTGTGTATGCATATATATGTAGTTGTTGTTAGGTTGTTTTTCAGTAGTGTCTGACTCTTTGTGACCCCTTTGGGGTTTGTTTTTTTTGCAAAGATACTGGAGTGATTTGCCATTTCCTTCTCCAGCTCATTTTATACATTAGGAAACTGAGGCAGACAGGGTTAAGTGACTTGCCCAGGGTCACACAGCTAGTGTCTGAGGCCAGATTTGAACTCAGGTCTTCCTAACTTCAAGCCTAGTACTCTATCCACTGTGCCACTTAGCTGCCGCATATGCATACAGATAGATAATTATAGACATAAAATATAAAGAGATATATGTACACACATATGTATATGTTACTATATAAATCTACATGTACATCCACACATGTATATGTGTATTACTATATATACATTTACATATATCTATGTATATCTCACATAGAGGTGTTATCTAATAATACACACACATGTACATATGTGTGTCCTTGTGCCTACATGTATATATGTTTACACATGTGTGTATATAGTGATGCACATAGATGTGCATGCATGCATATATACGCATATACATATACACATCTATGAATGTATATAACTCATATGCATATATTCACATGCATATATATGTATTTATGTATTGTGTATGGAAAGAGAAAGCAATTCTCTTACATAACTGGTTCCATGAGAACATCCTACTTCAGAAAGTCCTATCCGGCCTTTATTTCTAAACACATACATTCACAGCCTTTATGATTACTTTTACCTTGAACTATAAACTGTCTAACTATTTAAAGTGTTCGGACTAGTTTGTATTTGCCATTCTTCATTACAATTGTCTCGTTCTGTCTTCTCCATTTCAGCATTGGTTGGAGTTTACAAAGTCTGTGGTGAAGCAGTTGAGATGTAAGTATTCTTTACTCTGAGGCTGGCACTATCATTCATTTGTGAGGGGCAGGTTGGGATGGTTTCCCTACACAGACAACCTACACTTAAAGTTCATATCTATTGTCTATGTATACATTGGCTCTAAATGCCTGGATTTTTTTTTCCAATAGTGTAATGACTTGTGCATCATAGATTGGGGACATAGTCATTTTCTGAGAGTTTATCATTCCTGACAGTCACCTGCTTTTTTTGCAGCCCAGCCTCCATTCACCATGTGTTTCCGAGTGAAGTTTTACCCTGCAGACCCAGCTGCCTTGAGAGAGGAAATAACTAGGTGAGGCTGAATACAAGACTGCTTAAACTGGAGTCCATGAACTTTTTTTTTTAATATCTATTTTGACAAATGCATTTCAATATAATTGGTTTGTAAATCCTATGTATTTTATTTTATGCATTTATAAACATGATTCTGAGAAGGGGTCCGTAGACTTCATAGAAGAGATCATAGGTTTCACTGCCAGGGGAGGCTGTGATACAGAAAGGTAAAGAGATACCCTCTCCAGTTGTCCCTGCTATTTAGAGAACCTGGACCTGTTCAAAGAAGAAAGGAAAGGGAGGTACACAGCCAGTTATGCCCCTCACCTCTTAAAATCCAGAGTTCTTATGTATATCTAACCTCAGTTCCTCCCTACTTTCATTTCAGTGGAAATAGAATGTAACTAGTTCCTTTCTTCTTGCTTAGCTCAGTGAACAGTTAAAGTGATGGGAATATTTAAACTTGCATTGTTCACTAATATTGGTACTTGAAGTAGTTGATTGGTTGAAGTGCTTCCTCATGACAAGGAGGAGTGATGGTGACCAATGGACTCTGTAGGCATTTCTGGGGAAGACATTTGTTTTCTAGAGATAAAAAGGACTCGGGCTACCATGATGGGTCTGCTTATAAAACCCCGATACATAGCCTTGAAAGACAAACTGGGAACTAGTGCATATTTTAAATCCAAGGGAGCAATGTGATTGTTGTTTCTAGAAAAGTGGGTAGGGGGCCAGACAGGTGGCATAGTGGATAGAGCTCTGGCCTTAGAGTCAGGAGGACCTGAGTTCAAATCTGGCCTCTGACACTAGCTGTGTGACCCTGAGTGAGTCACTTAACCCCAATTGCTCACCAAAAAAGCAAAAAAAAATAAAATAAAAGTGAGTAGGAATGTCTGGGTCTAAGCAGCTCTACAGGAGAGCCAGTTGAATAAATGGGTCCTACCTAGTCCCTATTCTATATTTCACTTGACCAAATTCTCTTAACCTACATGATACCAGCCTGCTTAGAGCTCTACCAGGAAAGGCTTTGAAATCTACCAATATGGCTTCATTTACTGGTTGGAAACCCCTACTTTGTAGATTCCTTATCATTTCTTGGCCCAGTAGAATTTAAGCTGTTTGAGGACAGGAACTTTGTATGCTGGAGTGCCCAACGCATAGCAGGTACCTAATAAGTAGTTGGGGTTTTGTTGGTTGGTTGGTTTTGTTTTGTTTTAAGACTGGGTAACCCTATCTTGCCCAGATTGGAAGTGCAGGGCCCATTCATAGGCCTTATCCCACTCAGATCAGCACTAGACTGTTGACCTCCAACCTGGGCTGCTTTCCCCTTCCTTAGGCAGCCTGATGGTTCTCTTTTCCCAAGGGCTCACCATATTAATGCCAAACTTGGTGCTGACCCCACATTGGCTTAGCTCAAAACTCTCAGGTTCAGGAGATCCACCAGCCTCAGCCTCCTATAACAGGAATTACAGGTGCGAGCCCCATACTTGGTGTTTCCTACTGTTTGTTGAGTTGAGAGATAATGCTGCTGGCTTTACATCAGCTAAAGAAAGTGAATTTCAAATGAGAATTCTCAGTTTATTCCCAGTTGTTTGAGGTGAGGGGAAGAAAAAAATTGAGGGTATAAATAGAGATAAAAGGGCATTGAATCAGCCTTGATTGCAACTTCTGCACGATGTTGTATAATCTTTGAGGTTGATGAGGCTAAAAACTTACCACCCTTGGGCCAAACTGTTGATCAATATCTCTGAACTTCTCTAGGCTGTTGCTCAAATGACATATTTATAACCATTCTAATTGCTTGTCCTCCACTCAAAGTTTTTATATCTTGGTCAGACCTTCCAGAGCTTGTAGTCTCTGGGCATATCTTTCAGGAACCCAGGATAATCTTTATACCAGGAGGACACATCAAAGCAGAAGGCATTCCCAAAGAGAGAGAGAGAGAGATACTGTAGGTTCTGATGATCAACATGGTTGTGGGGTGTCTGTGTGGTTCATATTCAAGTCATTGTAATAGTATCCAGGAGAAACTTTCATGGAGAAAAAATAAGGGTCTAGAATATTGCAATAGCCTTCTGATTGGTCTTCCTGCCCCAAGTCTCTCCCCATCCAAGCCACCCTCCACTCAGATACCTTTACACAAATGTGCCTTCCCCCATCTCTGGAGTGTACTTCCCTCATGCTCTCTGCTTTGTTCAATCCCTAGATCCTTTCAAAACCATTTTGGTGTCACCTCCAACACGAGGTCTTTCCTCATCTCTCCAGTTATTAACACTCTCTAACTCTTAAAATTATTTTGTGTAAAGTATATGTTTGTATATGTGTGTTTTCTACATAGGCTATGTGTATTCACATGGGTCTGTCTAGATGTGACTCCTCAGGAGACACGAAAGATAGTTATCTCTAGTCTTTTCCACCCTCCCTTCTCCAAGAGAGACTTTAATTACTGCCAGGAGAGAAAACAGTAAATTGGGGTTATGAAGCTGGTCCCTCCACTCTCTTCAGAGAGGGGAGTACTGAGCAAGAATTATATCCATGAACCCCCTCCAATGTTGTTACTCTGAGGGAAATAATTTTAGGTTCAAGCTGTGTTCCTGATTGCTAGCCCTTAATGGGGAAGGAATAACTTAAGCCTACGTATCCAAGGTTTGACTGACTGCCTTTCCACCAAATGGCAGTTACATGAAGACCACACATAGCAAATAGCAAATGAGCCCATGACTATTCAAGCAGGTAGCAAAACAGAAATCGGAGATGTTTTACAGATGAGACTATACTGGACAAGGCACAGAGTGAATAAGCTGTCCCACTGGAAGTGAGATGTCTCAACTCAACCAAGAGAGAGAATCCTAGGGCTCATTCAAGAGAAAATTACCCAAATACTCTACAGTAGTAATCTGGGGATAGGGACATGATCTAGGTAGAAGCTCCTCCACATGTGTGCTTATTCCCAGAGTCTTTCTCTCCCTTTACGGACCTCTCTCTGAAGTAAATATGGAGCCTTGTATCTTCTCTCTTGAAGCTGGAAGCTAGAAGACTGAGATCTCTCTTCTCCCAAGCTCCCTCCAACTCTGCCCCTCCTGAAGGCACTGAGCACTGAGTAATCAATCTCAGCCTATGAGAAGACTCTTACACCAATGGGCTTTGAGCCTCTGGTTATACATGTATATTTTCTTACCTAGCCTTCATCACTGAATGGGCGTTGCCTCGGACAAATTGAGACCTGTTAAAGACCTTAGCTTAAAAAGGCCAAGGTTTCCCACTGCTTCTGGGCCATTTCCAGTTGTCCTGATCTATATCTTGCCACTGGACCCAGATAGCTGTGGAGGAGAAAGTGAGGCTGGTGACTTTGCACAGCCCTTTCTCACTTAAATCCAATTCACTTACATGTCATGGCATCACCTCCATGATGTCATAGTCCTCCAAAAATGAAGGACAAACAACAACAATATTTCATATTTACTTATTGTGTACGGTAAAATATAAGTCCCTTGAGGGCAAGGACTCTCATTTTTGTCTTTTTTTTGTCATTGCCCAACATTGTGCCTTGCACGTAATAGGAATTTAATGGATGGCAGCTGAGTTGAATTGAATCTGTAAAATGAGGGAGTTAAACTAGATGATCCCCAAAATCACTTCCAGCCCATGATGCTATGATACTATAAACAAAACTATGACGTTTAAAGATAGGGATTTTGCCAGGACACAAATTCTCACCATGCGTGAATACCATGTTTTAGGTGCTAGAATTTTCTTTCATTCAGATCGTAGCTTTTGACTTCAAGCCTGTTACATACCTCTTGAAAGAAGGTGTCTGTGGAAGAGACATGTAGATATTTCCAGCCACTGCCTTCACATTAGAGCAAACATCTTTGTTTAAAGCCCTGCACCTTGTCCCATTAACAATTCCGTCAGGATTGCTTGGTATCCAGCACACTGGACAAGTGATGTGGTATTAAAGGGATTTGTCTTCTGTGACTCAGTAGAATGTTCCCAGAAGCATTTTGTTTTGCATTAGAAGAAAATCTGATTGTCTTGGACAATAGGAGTGCTTAACAATGCAATGTCATTATGTATAAGTTAGTGGAAGTTTTACTAGGTAAAGCATCATAGTGTCTTGGAAAGAACACTAGATTGGGCTCTGCCATTTACTAGCTAATGTAACATTTGATAAGTGAATTCAGCTCTCTAGGCTTTAGTTCACTGAGAGAATTGAACTAAGTAATCCATAAGACCTTTGGAGCTATAAAATTATATGATTCTGTGAGTCAGCCACAGATTTGGCTCTGGTAACTGGTAACTCAGCCTCCCCAGTAGCAGGAATTACAGGTGTGAGCCCCCATGCCTGGTGTTTCTGGTAACTGGTCTAGGTAAGCAGTTGACTATGCTGGTAAGGGCATGTAAACTCAGAAATAGATCAACACTACTGAGTCAGACATGACTGAAAAACGACTTAACAACAGCTACCTCAAAATGTTTATTCTAAGGCCTGAGAATCTTCTTCAGGTAGCCATGAAGCTTGTCTCGTAATCCTTTTGGTCAGTCAAGACTTGCTGGCACCTTTCTGTGCCCTTAAAAGCCACATGTCTAAGTATAAGCAGGTGATAAGTAATAGAACTCAATTTCTGCAAGTGACCCTAGCCAGAGAACTACATCAGATGTTTCCAGAGGAACAGACAGAGACACATCTATGAATTTTATTTTGCTGTTTACTTTTTCCCTTTGTGCCTTTTATCTGTAAGGTCTGCTTATCAAAGGGGATTGCCCTCTTTGATTTTGTCAAAATGTTATCAAAGGGGATTGCTCCCTTTGATTTTGTCAAAGCACCATCCATCTTTCCTTTTTCCCCTCATATTGTCTCCCCTTGATGAAATATTTGTCGTATCAGTTAGTGATTCATTGAGAAGGCCACGCTTCTCAAGAACCATATTGGGGAATGTGAGAAATGATTATTAATAGCCAATATCTTGGGGAGATTCAGAGGCTGTCCCCTTTTTCTAAATCCTTCATTTTAAAAGG